GTTCGGGGTCTTATACTGTCTATTGTGATACCTCGAGGATTGGCCTTGGAGCGGTATTGATGCAGGACGGTAGGGTGATTGCCTACGTGTCCAGACAGTTGAAGGTACATGAGAAGAATTATCTTGTCCATGACCTTGAGTTAGCTGCCATTATTCACGCCTTGAAGATCTAGCGTCATTATATGTACGGTGTTCCTTGTGAGATTTATACTGATCACCGGAGTTTGCAGCATCTGTTTAAGCAGAAGGATCTTAATTGCACCAGAGGAGGTGGTTAGAGCTGCTGAAGGACTATGATATCACTATTTTGTATCACCCAGGCAAGGCCAATATGGTGGCCGATGCTCTGAGTCGCCGGGCAGAGAGTTAGGGGAGTTTGGCTTATTTACCAGCAGCGGAGAGGCCCATAGCGATGGATGTTCAGGCCTTAGTGAGTCAGTTTGTGAGATTGGATCTTTCGGAGCCCAGTCGGGTTCTAGCTTGTGTGGTTTCTTGGTCTTCCTTATTTGATCGTATCAGGGAGCGTCAGTATGATGACCCTCATTTTCTTGTCCTCAAGGACAAGGTTCAGCATGGTGATGCCAGAGATGTGACTATTGGTGATGACGGGGTATTGAAGATGCATGGTCGGATTTGTGTACCCAATGTTGATGGGCTTCGGGAGTTGATACTAGAGGAGGCCCATAGTTCGCGGTATCCATTCATCCAGGTGCCGCGAAGATGTATCAGGATTTGAGACAACACTATTGGTGGAGGCGGATGAAGAAAGATATAGTTGGATTTGTAGCTCGGTGCCTCAACTGCCAACAGGTGAAGTATGAGCACTAGAGACCGGATGGGTTGCTTCAGAAGATAGAGATTCCGGAGTGGAAGTGGGAGCGGATCACCAGGGACTTTGTAGTTGGGCTTCCATGGACTTTGAGAAGGTTCGATGCTATTTGGATGATTGTGGATCGGCTGACCAAGTCCGCGCACTTCATTCCTGTGTGTACTACTTATTCTTCAGAGCGGTTGGCGGAGATTTATATCCGGGAGATTATTCGTCTGCATGGTATTCCAGTTTCTATCATTTCAGATAGAGGTACTCAGTTCACATCACGGTTCTGGAGGGCCGTTCAGCATGAGTTGGGTAATCGGGTGGAATTGAGTACATCATTTCACCCTCAGACGGACGGACAGTCCGAGCGTACTATTTAGATTCTTGAGGATATGCTCCATGCGTGTGTGATTGAGTTTGGAGGGTCTTGGGATCAGTTCTTGCCATTGGCGGAGTTTGCATACAACAAGAGTTATCAGTCCAGCATTCAGATGGCACCATATGAGGCTTTATATGGTAGGCGGTGTAGATCCCCGGTGGGTTGGTTTGAGCCGGGTGAGGTTGGATTATTGGGCACGGACTTGGTTCAGGATGCTTTGGAGAAGGTTAAGGTGATTCAGGATAGACTCCGTACAGCCCAGTCCAGACAGAAGAGTTACGCGAACCGGAAGGTTCGTGATGTTTCCTATATGGTTGGAAAGCGGGTTCTGCTTCGGGTATCGCCTATGAAGGGCGTTATGAGATTTGGGAAGAAATAGAAGTTGAGTCCGAGGTTTATTGGTCCTTTTGAGATATTGCAGCGTATTGGGGAGGTTGCTTATGAGCTTGCCTTACCTCCCAGCTTGGCAGGAGTTCATCAGGTATTTCATGTTTCGATGCTCCGGAGGTATCACGGCGATCCGTCGCACGTGTTGGATTTCAGTTCAATCCAGTTGGACAAGGATCTATGTTATGTTGAGGAGCCAGTGGCAATATTGGACAGGCAGGTTAGAAAGCCGAGGTCAAAGAACATTGCATCAGTGAAGGTTCAGTGGCGGGGTCAGCCGGTCGAGGAGGCGACCTGGGAGACCGAGCTGGATATGCGCAGCCGTTACCCTCATCTTTTCACTACTTCAGGTATGTCTCTATGCTCGTTCGAGGACGAAAGAATATTTAAGTGTGGGAGGATGTAACGACCCGGCCGGTCGTTTTAAGAATTAATGCCCCGATCCCTTATTAACTGTTTTCCCCGTATTTATTTCTGCTATTTTGATTTGCCGGGATATTTGATTTTGAGTTTCGGAGAGTTTTAGGGCACTTAGTCCCTAAATGAGAGCTTAAGTTTTAGAAATTTGACCATAGTCAGAACATTGTGAAGACGGCCTCGAAATGGAATTCCGATGGTTCTGTTAACTCCGCTGGCTGATTTCGGGTTTAGGAGCGTGTTCGGATTTTGTCTTGGAGGTCCGTAGATAATTCAGGCTTGAAATGCCGAAAGTTGAATTTTTGAAGTTTCCGGTTCGATAGTGAGATTTTGACCCAAGGGTCGGAATGGGATTCCGGGAGTTGGAGTAGCTCGTTAGTGTTGAATGTGACGTGTGTGCAAAATTTCAAGTCATTCGGACGAGGTTTGATAGACTTTTTGATTGAAAGTGTATTTTGAGAGTTTTTGAAGTTCTTAGGCTTGGATCCGATGCTAAATTGGTGTTTTGATGTTGTTTTGAGCGTTCCGAAGGTTGGAAGAAGTTTGAATGATGTTATGGGATATGTTGGTAGGTTTGGTTGAGGTCCCGGGGGCCTCGGGTGTATTTCGGATGCTCAAACGGGCACTTTTGGTCTTTGGGAGATTGCTGGTTTTCTCGTGTTTTAGCAGCAGTGGTTTGTTCATTGCGATCGCGTGAGTTCATCCGGGATCGCGTAGGGTAAGTTGAGGCCAGGAGGATTTAGTGAATTGCGACCGCGAAGGTAGGAGTGCGATCGCGTAGTGTGAGCAGTCTTGGTCACTGCGTTCGCGTGGAGACCTTTGCGTTCGCGTAGAAGGACTTGGAGTAGCAGTGAGGTGATGGAATTTGCTCTATGCGATCGCATAGAGCTGGTCGTGATCGCATTGTTGTGCGGAATCGTCTTATGCGATTGCATAGGTATTTCTGCGACCGCATAGGGTTAATATCCGGGCAGTATTTAAATAACCAATCCGCGACCCTTCTTCATTTTCCACCATTTTTTAACGGGGTTGAAGCTTTTGAGGGGGATTTTTGAGGAAACCAAAGGGGAATCACTTGGAGGTAATATTCTTGACTTCATAACTCGTTTATATATGATTAAAGGTCTAATTAGTGGTGAAAAGTTAGAGAAAAATTAGTGCAAAATGGGTAATTAGGGCTTGAGATTAAGAGACCTTAAAATGGCTATTTGAGGGGCCAATTGAACTCCGATTTCAGTGTTCTTGATATGTATAGACTCGTGAGAGTATGAGAATTCTGAAAATATAAATTTTACCCCATTCCGAGACATGGGCCCGAGGGGCGTTTTGGTCATTTTACCTAATTTTGCGTATTAGCTTAGAATTTGTTTGTAGAATCAGTTATTTGAAGTGTTATTTACATTATGCAATTGAATTGAATAGATTTGGGCCATTTAGAATCAAGTACTCGTGGCAAGAACGTGGTTTCAGATTGATTTTGAGCCGGTTCGAGGTAAGTGGCTTGCCTAACCTTGTGTGGGGGAAACTCCCCTTAGGATTTTTATTATTGATATTTGAAATGCCTTGTACGTGAGGTGACAAGTGCGTACTTGTGCTAATTGTTAAAAATCCGGTTTTCTTTAAGTAATTTTAATTGTGTTTCTTTTTCCTGTTTATACTACTTGCAATTTAAGCCTGTTGTTAGCTTAGGGAAGCATGTCTAATTGACTTAATTGCTTTACTTGCCCAAACTGCATTATTTGGGTTATGTGCAACATGCTAGGCTAGAAGTACCTGTTTTACCTTAGTATGGAATTTGAATTGAATTGTGTATTTCTTCGTGTTGTTGCTGTGTGTTTACTTTGGGACTACCGGACGGTATCCCGGTAGATTCCCCTGCATATTTACTTTGGGACTACGGATTTGTATTCCGGTAGATCCCCCTGCACATTTACTTTGGAACTACGGGACTGCACCTGGTAGATTCCTCCTGTACTAGATATTTACATTTGGGACTACGGATCAGATTTCCGGTAGATCCCCGCGCATTATGAATTGGACTACGGGACTGCACCCGGGAGATCCACCGGATATTTATATTGGGGACTACAGGACGATATCCTGGGAGATCCCCGGTTGTTATCTCTGTGTTGAGTTGTACTCCTTTCCGTGATTATTTTGTCTCTGTTATAGTTGCTGTTGTTCTTTCTATCCTATGTTATTTCTTACTGTTGCACTTAATTATACTGTCTTATTCTACACTGTTATACCTTAGATTTCATTTAATTTCCGTAGGGCCCTAACTTTTCTCGTCACTACCCGACCGAGGGTAGGCTAGGCAATTACTGAGTACCCTTGTGGTGTACTCATGCCCTTTCTGCGCTTGTTTTTCATGTGCAGATTCAGGTACTTCCACTTAGTCTTATTATCCTTGAGGCGAGGCGCTTCTGTAGAGACTTCGAGGTATATCTGCCGCGTCCGCAGACCGAGGAGTCCCTTTCTATCTTTCTGTAATAGTATAGCCCTTCAGTATTTTCCTTTTGTTAGACATTTCTGGAGTTAGAGCTTCTTATGTATCTCTTAGCTTGTGATTCATGGAGTTACGGATTTTGGGAAGTGTTAGGTTGAGATTCTTGTACTATTATATGCCACGCGGCATCTTAAACACTATTTCATTTTGTTATTTCGGTGTTATATTATTTTCTTTCCGCAAATTATTTCTTTTTCCGCATTTGTTAGGTTTACCTAGTCGTAGAGACTAGGTGCGTCACGATAGTTCACGGAGGGCGAGCTGGGGTCGTGACAAAAAGCCCCAAATTTTTTTCTAGTTATAATTATTTATATTAGTAAGATTGTTATAAGTTAACAAAGTATTAATATTTTGTTTCATTACACTATAGATTCTAGATATAATATTTGAATAATTTAACTCAAAATTTTAGAATATTAGACAATGTTATATTATGGAATACTTTAAAAAAAAAAAAAAAAAAACTTATTTATCACATTACTAATACCAGTTTTCCCTTTAGTCCTCCGATTTGGTGAGGCGAATAAATTGGAGTAGTTTTTATGACTTATTCTTACCAGAAGGAATTTGTGTTTAAATTCCAGGTGATACACGATCTACTATTGATTAAGGTCTGAAACAGAAGATCTGCGAAGATGGTAATATTCACTGGCTTATCTTTCCAATGAATTTTTCCGACTGACAACTTCTTTTTCCCATGTGATTTTGGTTGTTGATGAGCTTATAACTAAATATCTTTAAAGATTAATCTTTTGCTGAACATTTTAGATCTCTTTAGAAATCAGGAATTTTCTAGGGAAAATATGGAGTTTGTTGATTTTGAAAAAGAATCGTTGTGATAATAATTGCAAACTGTTCTATGTGCTGCAGGTTGTTCTAGCTGCGTCCATTATTTCTAAGTCAGGCAAAGGTACTATCTTTACTATATCTGTTTCTGGAATCTCTAGTTTCTTCAGTCGAATAATTTTTGTGGTGCAATTCTACACAAATTTGGCATCTGCCAATTAATTGATTTGTTCTTTTGACAAAACTTTGAGAATAAACTAGTAAGATCTATTATTCTGCATTCTGATTTGCAAAACTATGTGACTCGTTCCTTTTCTGAAGTTTACAGACTGAACGTTATAGAAGGGCCTTAGAAAAGCACTTAACTAAGAAAAGCATTTGATAGTATAAGTTAGTTTAATTATTATGGTGGAGAAATGTAAAAATTGCAATTAATGGAGAAAAAGAAAATTCCATAGGTATAACTGGAGGCACAAGAGTAGATGATCTCTAATTCATGTGTGATTGAAAATGGAAGATGCCAACTTGGCACAAGAGTAGATAATTTCTGATTCATGTGTGATTGAATATCAAGATGCCAACCCCGCATAAAGACAGAAGGCATAGAGCAACATGAATAAAGTAGTTTAAAGTAATTTGCAAAGGGCTAGGGCTATCTACTGTTAATCATCATCGACTGATGTTGCAATATATAAAGAATGTACTTTACTGGTTTGACTTGTGAACATTTGGAGATCTTTACTCAGTTCTTTTCTTGTTTCATAGCTGACAACATATCCTCAAACGAAGTATTTTTGTTTGCAAATAGATCCCCTTTTTCATTGAAAGAAGAGATTAGGCATGCTAATACTGCATGGATACATCTGGTCATATGTTGCTTACCCATTATGACATTTGTTTTGGTCAGAATGAGAGAACAAAATTCTAATACCCTTAGGGATGCTAAGTGATACAATAAAGCGCTAGAAACTGTGGCACATTCTAGGTGTTTATGTAATATGGAAATATCTTTTTATCCTTACATTTATATTTAGGTGAGCTAATGTCTCTGAGCAATTCTTAAGCAAAACAGAAAAGATTTAACATGTTAGCCAAAAATATACATTTTGGTTTGGGAGAAACGTGGAGAGGAATGGTAGAGATAAGCGCAACTAAGACTATGAGATGGTAGATAAAAGGGTAAATCGGTGGGTGGAGGAAAGTAGTAGTATAGGGAAGAGAGTAAAAGAAGTCTTACTATATATGTGAGGAAGTTATAAGATTATTATTTGAGAGAAAATGACAGGCTTCACATTTTAGCTGTCCATACCTACTTGATTCTCTTTTATTATTTATGAGTAATAGATGCGACAAAGTATAAGGAATTAATATCTTTTGGAAAAGGGTAAAAAGGAATGTAAAGTTTATGCAAAGGAAAGGACTAAATCACGGAACACATACTCAAAGGAGAGAAAAGGTAAATGACACATAAATTTGTAACCATCTACCTGTAAAATGAGAAACTTTTGGATAGACAGAAAAAAATATTTGTTTTTCATATCTATTATGTAAAGAGGCTAGTGGTATAAAGGGACAACCAGGTGCACAAAGCATCCCGCGTTCATGCAGTGTCTGGGATATATTACACCCCAAGGGGTGTAATATAGACAGCCTACCTTGACACAAGCATCAATGGTTGATTCAATGACGCTAGTGGTATAATGATGAAAAAAGGGGGAGGGAGAAATATATTGGAACTATTATGGTGTCTACTGCCACTATTTGGTTTTCACACATACCTCTGTTTCCATCTTCTAGTTCTGTACTTGTTTTAGCTTGCAATGGTTTCTATTATTGACATTTGAAAGAAAAGAGTTTCTGATTCCTCTGATAATTCCCTCTTGTAGTGGGTCAATTGGCCTTTGATGCTTTCTGGTAAATAGTTCTACAGATTTTTTGCTCTTGCATAGAAAAAAAAAGAAAAAGAACAGAAGAAGCTTCTTTTATTTGATCGTGGTGGGATGTTTATTCAATCAGTTCTTGCATCTGGGATGCTCAATATTCTTCTTCTCTAGTTATAATTGGATACATTTGCCACAAACCACCACTGACTGAATCATTTCACCTCTTCTGCAGCACTTGTCTCGAGGCAGTTTGTTGATATGTCTCGTATAAGAATTGAAGGGTATCTTGCAGCCTTCCCCAAATTGGTTGGAACAGGAAAGCAACATACCTATGTGGAGACTGAAAACGTGCGTTATGTTTATCAGCCAATTGAATCTCTGTACTTGCTGCTCGTGACAAACAAACAGAGCAACATTCTTGAAGATTTGGAGACACTGAGGCTGCTGTCTAAACTTGTATCCTTTCTGTTTTTCTGATACATATTTACGATTCATTTCTTATGAGCTCTAGGTTATTCTGCCCAACTCTGTTCATTGAGTTTTGATGCTTTTCATAAGAAATGCTTGTCCTCATCTAAGTTCAAATTTTCATCAAGCTGTAAATATATCTCCCATAGCTTTTTTATGCCTGTTGCTTTCTAAGATTATTTGTCACATGGAAAGGGTTTGGGTTGATTCCTTGACTGTTATTAGGTGCCTGAATACTGTCATTGCTTAGATGAGGAGGGAGTCTCACAGACAGCTTTTGAGCTTATTTTTGCATTTGATGAAGTAATCTCTCTTGGGCACAAGGAAAATGTTACCGTGGCACAAGTCAAGCAGTATGGTGAAATGGAGAGCCATGAAGAGAAATTGCATAAGTTAGTCTTACAGAGCAAGATTAACGAAACTAAGGATGTCATGAAGCGTAAAGCCAGTGAGATTGATAAAAGCAAGGTAGTTCAGGACGCCAGTGCTACCTGTGCCGTCACTTTTAACCTTTCTTTTATCTTGGATCCTTTGAGTTCTATTAGAAGAATCAACATGTGGAAACTGCTTTGCAGATTGAGAAGAATAGGGGTGAGAAAGGAGGTTTCATGTCTCTGCAATCTATGGGTTCTGGAAGAATTGACACTGGCTTCGGCAGCGATACAAACTTATCTAGCTTAGGAGGTGGTGGTTTTGGCAGTGGTTCTGGACTTGGACCAAGCACCGATTTGGATTCATTTTCCACCAAATCCAAGGGTTTGTATTTGTTGTACCTAATCAATGTGCTATGTGTCTTTAGTTCAAACACACCTTGTCGAGGCAGTGCATCATTGAGTTTTGCATATTTTTCCCGCATGGCTTCTTATATTCTTGAGCATAGGATGTGGAACTCTTTCATTTCTAATTAGTATTACATGTCTGTATATTGGGAGGAAAGCAGTAGAATTATATTGGTGAGGAAAACATAAGGCACCAATGTGATGAATGCACAGGAAGTCTATAGGGAATACTAATTGAAGGAAAATAAATGCTTCGTTAAGATGATTGGGAGGAATCAAATTTGCATAAGTTTACTGCCTAAGTGTACTTTCAATATGTGGAAGGTTCATTGTAGATTTTGAGAAGAAGGAAAGGCTTCTTATATTTCTGTGTGTGTTTACATCCCCTGAGCAAGGGAATTTATACAAAGCTCCTAATGCTATTAAGGAAATAAAATCAATCTATACAATCAATCCAGCAATCAAATAAAATCAAATAAAATCAGATTTCCATCAAATCTCCTGAAATCATGCTAATCAGCACTCCTAAATTAAATCTCCTTGAATCATGCTAATCAACACTCCCCCTCAAGTTGGTGCAAAGATGTCGCACATGCGCAACTTGCAACTCAAAATATGGAAAGTTCGCTTGTTGAGACCTTTGGTAAACACATCAACTAGCTGTTTTTCCGATGGCACATGAAACAAACTCAAGACACCAGTTGTAACTTTTTCTTTGATGAAGTGTCGATCAATTTCCACATGATTTTTTCGGTCATGCTGGACTGGATTATGAGCTATACTGATGGCAGCCTTATTGTCACAGTACAAGGAAAGTTTTCTTTTTTCAAATAGTCTCAATTCCTGTAGTAGCTTTTGTAGCTAAGGCAGTTCGCAAACATCCTGGACCATAGCCCTATATTCTGCTTCCGCACTTGATCTAGCAACTACACTTTGCTTCTTGCTTCTCCAAGCAACCAAGTTTCCTCCTACGAGCGTACAATAACCGTAAGTTGATCTTTTGTCATCTAGAGATCCAACCCAACCCGCTTCTGTAAAGGCTTCTATTTGGAGGTGGTCATGTTTGGAGAAAAGTAGACCTTTCCCCGGAGCAAACTTCAGGTACCGCAAAATGTGAAAGACAGTTTGCATGTGAGGATCTCGGAGATCATGTTCATGACTCACCAGGCTAACTGAATAGGCTATGTCTGGTTTAGTGTGGGAGAGATAAAAGAGTTCCAGCCAACCTCTGATCTCTCTCCTTATCAACTGACTCTCTAACTCCGCTTTGTAACTTGTGATTGCTTTCAAGAGATCTAGAATATACTTCCTTTGAGAAATAAAGATTCCTCTTTTGGATCTAGAAACCTCAATTCCCAAGAAGTACTGCAATTTTGCTAGATCCTTGATCTCAAATTCATGTGCCAACAACTTCTTCAATCGGGCCATCTCCTTTTTGTGATCTCCCGTCATTACTATGTTATCAACATAAATAATGAGAAGAGTGAGTTTACCCGTTTGATGTCTTATGAAGAGGGTGTGATCAACATTGCTTTGTTGGTAACTGAAGGAGATCATTGCTTTGATGAATCTGTCAAACCAAGCTCTAGGGAATTGCTTCAGTCTATACAAGGCTGTCTTCAATCTGCATGCCTTTCCTTGACTCTGTGCATTATCAAATCCAGGAGGAATCTCTATATACACTTCTTCTTCTAAGTCCCCAGGAAGAAATGCATTCTTCACATCAAACTGTTGCAAGTCCCAATCAAGATTAGCTGCACAAGACAAAAGAATTCTAATAGTGTTCATCTAAGCAACATAAGCAATTGTCTCTTGATAATCCATGCAATAAGTCTTACCGAACCCCTTAGCCACCAATCTTGCTTTGAATCATTCAATTGAGCCATCAACTTTGTGCTTCACAGTGAAGTCCCATTTGCAGCCAACCAACTTCTTGTCTGGTGGTGAAGTGACAAGTTCCCAAGTCTCTTTTTTTGACTAGGCCTTCATTTCTTCAATCATAGCTAGCTTCCATTTAGGATCTACAAAAGCTTCCCTCCAATTCTGGGGAATAGACACAGAAGAAATGGACAAGCCAAAGGCTTTGTAGGAGGGAGACAAAATTAGATAAAGGGTGTTTGGTGGTGCAAGATCTGACTCCTTTTCTGTGAGCAATAGGCACATTAGGAAATGTAAATAACTCACTAGTAGAAGAAGGTTCTAACTTCGGTAGATTGCATGATGGTTTCTTCTGCTTTATTTCTCCTTAAGTAAGTTTCCAAATCAAGCCTATCCAAACGCCCTATAGTCTCCCCCTGAATTCTTTCTCCAATTTCACTTTCCCCTGTGACTGTCATTAAGAGGTCCAGTAATGGAACTAGGTAGAATTACCTCTTCCTCCTTACTACTCTCGCCCTGAAGAGGTGATGAGGTAATACTGAAATAAGGCTTAGATTCTCGAAAGGTAGCATCCATGCTAACAAAAGATCTCCGAGAAGGAAGATGATAACATTTATAACCTTTATGTGTCGGAGAATACCCAATAAAAACACACTTTATAGCTCTAGGATCAAGTTTCCCAGAATTTCTGGTGTGGATAAAGCAAACACACCCAAGCACCTTTCGAGAAACAATATATTCATTCTTATCATTTAAAGCTTCCAGAGGACTTCGAAATTTTTGAGGGGTTTAAGTGGCATTCTGTTGATAAGATAGGCAGCCGCTCGAATAACATCCCCCGAGTAAGGTTTTGGTAGATGCATGGTGAACATAAGAGATCTTGTCTTCTAACATGGCGACCCCATTTTGTGCACTAGTCTAAGGACAAGTAGTCTGATGGACTATCTCATTGGACTCCAAATAAGCACCAAATCTTTTATCCATGTATTCGCTGCCATTGTCAGTTCTAAGATTTTTATTTTGGCATCAAACTGAGTACAAATCATCTTATGAAATGACTGAAAACAAGAGAAAATGTCACTTTTGGCTTTTAACAAATATACCCAAGTCATCCTAGTGCAACAATCAATGGAAGTAACAAACCATCGACTACCAGAAAAGAAATAGTTAGAGTTGGACCCCATATATTAGAATGAATAGTCATAAACGGAGTTGTGCTTCTATTATCACTCACAGGATGAGAGTTTCTAGTATGCTTGGTATATTCACACGCATCACAGAACAAAGATTCAAATCGAGTCCTTGAAAACAAATCAGGATATAACTTCTTCAAAACAAAGAATGATGGGTGTCCTAATCGTCTATGCCGCTGTATTATTTCTTGGTTGACATCCTTACTTTCCCCAAAAAAGGCTTGACCAGAGTTTTGAATTCCATCTAATATATATAAGTCATCATGCAATCTACCATCGGCAATCCTTTTCCCTTTATGAAGATCCTGAAAAATACAATGATTGGGATAGAACTCGATTTTACAGTTTAGAGCTTTGGTGATGGCACTAACAGATAATAGGTTGACAGGGAACTCAGGGAAGCACATATGATAGTTTAATATTAGGACTTGTTTCAGAGATAGATGTTTAAGAACCATTGGCTATTATAACATTATCTCCTTTGGGGTACGGAGAATAGTTTTGAATGCCTTTAGAAGAGCCTGTCATGTGTTATTTGTACCAGAATCAACAATCCAAGAATTAAGGTGAGCAGCAAAGCAGTACGTGATTGCACATGATTGGATGTGGCAACATTAGCGGAATCAAATTTGGCTAGGAGGCGATGGAGAAGCTGAATTTCATCCGAAGATAAGATTTCTCCAGAAACCATCTCCTTGAATGTCTCAGAAGGAAATCTGAAAAAAATTGCTCAAATTTAATCTGCCTCGCTAGAAACCAAATCTGTCTCGAGCGAACCTTAGCTCCGGTGAATGGAAAAAACAAAACTGGTAGGGATAGGCTCGGAATGTTCCAGCGAGCCTAATAGCAAAAGAAAATTCAAAAAACAAAACTGACCAGAAGGAGTTTGTGTTGCGGACAACCACCAAGAGAGAGACAACTCAGAACGCTAGTGCTGCGAGAGAGATAACTCACCTTTAACAAAAACTTGCAAGTCCTTTATTATTCTAATTTTGCTCCATCTGTACATCCAAGACATTTGTCATGCATAATATCCTAAACATTCCTGCGACAGTTGCATAAGTTTCATCTGAATCAAGAACAGCAATCTGTAAATTCCTATTTGACCTATATAAATTCAATCAATGGAAGTTCTTAATGTACACATTCTGCCTTATGTACTATGTGCAACCTGATATTTTACAATTCTTTGGACCAGCGAGTTTAAGCTGGCTGCAATGTTTTATGTCTAATTTCCCCTTGAACTTTGTCGTCAGCTGGTTGTGGGGTACTGTCTATTTAGCACTGTTTTTGTCTTGCATGAGTTATGCTGAAAATTTACTCTACTATTTTCTTAATTACTTTGATTTTCTTCTATTAGATATACATAAAGTATGCAAAAAGCTTGTAAGATGAGGAAACGAGGCTGGAGGAAACATGACATTGTTGTGTTTCTTCCTCTTTTTAAACCCCCCCCTACCCCCCCCCCCCCCCCCAAAACCCCTAAAAAAACGAAAAACAACACACACACACACACATAAAGACAACCCAAAAAAAAAAAAATTGGCAATGATATCATACAGCTTTGTGTTTACTCTTTACCCAATACTTTTGTTTTTGGGAGGTCAGCTCTACTTGAGACATGCCCCTAAAATCCTCATCATATGTGCATAATTCAAATCCTGGAATCAGTTGGTGGGCCCAAAAAATTTGTGTATCTACATTTGTATTACTTCTCTCATGGTTCTTAAGCAGTTTTTCTTTTCTATCCTATAAATAAACATGTCATTTTACTTATGGAAAAAGCACATACTTTTTGGAGAAACATCGAGTAGGTGGCTGAAAACCAATTTGGAATAATTAGCTCATCACATTTATGTGATCAGGTCGTCCAGCTGCATCTGCTACAGCTCCCCCGAAAGGTCTTGGTATGCAGCTAGGTAAAACACAAAGGGCCAACCAATTTTTGGAATCCCTGAAAGCTGAGGGTGAGGTCATTGTCGAAGATGTCAGACCAAGCATTGGTCAGTCCAAGCCAGCTGCTCCACCACCAACTGATCCAGTCACACTGACTGTTGAAGAGAAGATTAATGTAACATTAAAGCGTGATGGCAGTATCGGCAACTTTGATGTGCAGGGTACCTTGTCTCTCCAAATTCTGAACCAAGAAGATGGACATATCCAAGTTCAGGTACTCTCTCTCTCTGAGCATGTGTAAGCATCCCTTTAAGTTTGATTCTTTTTCCCCCATCTGTGGATCTTCTTTAAAGGCCGCGCATCCTCTTGAAGGCAATGGCACCTATTCAGCAATGGATGTGGCACACACTAGGCACCATTAGTCACATTTCCACTAGTCTTCATTAGATCCAAACAAAGAGGAAGTTAAAAATTCTTGAATTGCTGGATATTGGCACCTGGCAAGCACGATCAGGCTATGGCAATATCTAGTGCTCCTTCTGTTTCAATTTAAATGACACACTTTTCTTATTAGTCCGTTCCAAAAAGAATGACATATTTTTATATTTGGAAATAATTTAACTTTAAACTTTTCATATTATCCATTTTGCCCTTAATGATAAGTTTTTACAGCCACAAAAATGTCATGGCCCCACAAAACTTTTGCCCCTTAAGCTTTTAGGACCACACGCTTCAAAAGTCTTTTTTTTTCTTAAACTTTGTACCAAGTCAAACTACATCGTCTAAATTGAAACGGAGGGAGTAACGCAGTTATGTTAACTTCTTCTGATGTACTGGAAGGAAGTTTAATGTAATATAAGTTTATGAGAAAGTATTACCTATTGCTTCTTCTTGATCTGTCTATGAAACTGCATACTTCCAAAAAAAAAAGTTTATGAGAAAGTATTTCTTTCAAAGAATTGTGTGTCAAATAACAGTTGTATTGAAGGATATAATGAAATTGATGTAGATGCATTCTGCTGAGTTCTATTGTGGACTGTATAGTGTTTTATAGAAGTAATGAATTGTTACATATATTCCTGATGCCCTGTAATCATATAAAGTGTATTGATGTTATGTTATTTACATCTTACTGTGCCCTAATATATTGTGTTCTGTTCTTTTGTAAAATACTTTGTCCATGAGTTCCTTCGATTTGTATCCTCATTCCCTGGTCAGTACCTTGGTTTTTATAGTTTGTAAATAGAACTTCTGTAGAAGGCAGGTACTTAAGTTATCTATTAAGTTTCTACTTGAATCAAGTGAACACAGAATATAGTTACAGGCCGTCATGGTTTTGGATCGGATTGTTATTTTGATTGGTCTAGATGCAATTCATGATTCCTGACCACACACTTGTCTGCCTTTTCTTTCTCATATATTTCATCGGGAGCATTAACGCTGATGATAAAAGTCCTTTGCGTACCAAGTATGTGTCATTTGTGTATCTCATTTGCATCCTAATTCTCTCTGGTTTTCTTTCCATTGTCATCTTTAGACAGCTTCTGTATATTTTACAGGTAGAATGTATAGTGTCAACATTAGATTTTGTCTGCCCCTTCCATTTTTATCTCTTTGGGAAAAGTATGTTCCTTCTGAAGCTAAACAACGGTTCTCATATTTCTGAATCGTTTGCATCATACATGTAACTAAGAAGCAATTGGAGGGTGTAAAGCCAAGTGAAGTTTGCATGTGCTTCTTTCTTTTGAATGACTTCTTCTTCATTAAGGAGCAGTGGCAATGCCTTTTCTAGGCTTAACACTTGCCAACAAAGATGAAGACTCAACTAGGCCCATATCAATTTGAAATATGTGTTTAAACATGACTCTGTAGCTCCCAGTTTGCAGGCCTATCTGATCTTAGAAGGCAGGGATAATCGTGATGGTATTGCTTGTGGTAACTTACTTAATGTCATTTGTCATCTGATTCTATATGTTCAGGTTGAAACCAGTGGTAATCCAGCCATCCTCTTCAAAACACACCCAAATATCAATAAGGAGTTATTTTCTAATGAAAATATTCTAGGCCTCAAAGATCCTAATAGGCCTTTTCCTGCTAATCAATCTGGTGACGGTGTTAATCTCTTGAAGTGGAGAATGCAAAGTTCAGATGAGTCGATTTTACCTTTAACCAGTAAGCATCGTGCTATTTGGTTGTTCTTGTCTACATCTCTGTTTTTTCATCTTTTACAATTCAATCATGTTTAATCTTTTATAATTAATTTCAACTTTTTCTCAGTTAACTGCTGGCCTTCAGTTTCTGGGAATGAAACCTATGTGAATATTGAGTATGAAACCCCAGCACAGATTGATCTACAGAATGCCGTGATTTCTGTACCTCTCCCGGCTCTCAGGGAGGCCCCACGTATACAGCAGATTGATGGAGAGTGGAGGTGACATTTTAACTTTAAACATTACTCTGCCACTCGGTTATTAAAAGTAGTACCCCTTTTATATCATAGATAAATTCTTGTGGATATTTGGACCAATGCTTGCACAGATCTCATTGTAATAGAGCTTTTAAGGCTGAAATGGTTTTACTTAAAGCTGTAAATATATATCTGAGTGCTTGCAAATTCTGCCTTTTAAGTTAGTTGTATCATACGGTCAAGACAAGGAAGTGGTTTCATGTTTAATTTATTTGTGTGGTGCATACATAGTGTGTCACCTGCTGCTTTCCCCAATTTTAGTTAGGCTGTTTGCCTAGGTTACTGGGATAAGATTTTTGGAGATTGAAAAATTCCCACTTATTGTGGTTCTTTAATGGGAGGGATGGGTGTGATTTGGTTATTCTTGTTCAATTCTGAACTTCAATTCCCTTTTCTTTCCTCGATGAAGAAACGGTATTCTGTATCTATTTTGTTTAACCGTGTATAAACTATCCACTGATGATAGAAAATGCAAATTTTGATGTGAATATTGGTTTTGAGTATCGAATTGTTAAGCTTCATTAGTGAATTTGAGTTGTACAGAGAACTGAAATAGTGAATTTAATTGTAGTTGGTGCACCAGTTGCAGATGTATTTTTCCTTTAGTGAAGTTATGCAGCTAAAGCTGTATTGGAGTGGCATGATTACTTTTACAACAAAATGTGAATGGAAGAATTGTAATATAAACACATATAGTCGAAATTGGCAACCAGACTCTGTAACTGCTATCCATGCTTTGTAGTTTGTATCTAGTGGTGGCAAACCCAAATCCAGTGAATATGACCAAAACTGTATCCAAGTATTGCAATTGATTGAGAGAACTGCTGGGGACTTCTGTTCCTATGATCAAGTGTTCTATATTAAGATCCAATAACATCTCCCATTAATTGCAGGTATGATTCCAGAAATTCTGTTCTCGAGTGGTCTATAGTTCTCATTGACAATTCTAATCGCAGGTTAGCTTATGTCAAAACTTGTATTTGTACTGAAGCATGTGATTGATCTCTAGTAGTTATTTGTAACTTTAATGTGGAAATGGAAATTTTGCAGTGGATCACTGGAATTTGTTGTTCCAGCAGCAGATCCTGATGTCTTCTTCCCAATTTCTGCCCGTTTTACTGCCTCAAGAACATTCAGTGACCTGAAGGTTTGCACCTGTTTCTACACATGATATTGTGACACTCCTTTTTCAGCCATTAGGTTGCTGAATATATGCACTATTTCTGCTTACCTGCTTGGGCTATTTGTCTCTGGATGATTTGATGCTTTACTTATCAATTTTCTTTTATGCTTCTGATTCATGTTCTTTCCTATTTTGATTTCTTTGCGCGTGAGCCTTCTTATGTCTGTTCAAGGATCATTCTTGTGTATTTTCCCAAAGAAATCCTGTGGTTGTGGGTGAAATGTAGTTACAATGTTGAGGGAGTTTACCGTGAATTTATGCAATTGATGTTGCCCAAAGTTATCTCCAATAGGTTGCTAAATATTGTCCATCAGAGTTGGTTGATATGTTGATTCATTGTAATTTTCAGGTTGCCAACATTCTGCCATCGAAAGGTGGGTCTGCTCCCAAGTTTTCTCAAAGAATGCTGCTGGCTACCGAGAATTACCATGTCGTGTAACCATAATGGTGGTATGGACAAATGATGTTTGTTTCCCATATAGGATGTTTTTCTTTGGCGCGAGTGTGTGGAGAA